ATAAAGTCAAACCAGTCACTGGAAAAACTATGTGAGTGACAAATGATCTCGAGTAAGGAACCAAGCTTTTCACAACTTTGTCAGATACCCTGAGAAATAATTGTTCGCTGTTCGGGGAAGTTTGAAAAACAGATTTAAAATCGTCTTAGAAGCTGCTTTTAAACAATATCTTTTGAAGATGTGAGATCTGACTGTGACGCCATGACATCCATTCACAGATGTACAGTACCACTTTATCAGCAGGGACGAGTAGAGAGCTGGTAGGAGCAGCAGATGGCAAGGGGAGCAAGCCAAACTCTATGTTGTACATAACAAAAAGTGTGTATCTTAGTCTCTTTCAACCTTAGAAGAAATGAGTGGTGAATGAAAACTAAGCCTATAAATAATGAGAGAAGTGTTGTAATATTGCAAGTCCAAGACCCAGTCTTATATATAGATTGTGTCGGTAATTAGTGGATAGGCAGTTTCGTCAGTAGTCCAGCTTCAGCTCCACTAGTCTTACAAACACCTCTAATTAGCAACATCGCTAGCATGAGAAACTATTCCATGCTGGAATCGTAATATCCCTTGACCCGTCTTACTGAAGACAAGAACGTGTTTTCAATATGAAGTTGTGTGTGAGTGTAAGAGTACAACCAAGTAGACAGGGTGTTGAGCTGGGCCCACGACACCAAGCAGGCTCAGGTGAAGGTAGAATAGCGATGGTTGCCAGATACCAGAGACAAATTTGATGACTTTAGACTTGACAAAATCAAAAAAAAATTGGACTTTAACACCAATAACTCATGAATCCACTTGGAATTTAGCCTTTTGACTTAAATATACTTGATACCTTCCCTCAGGCCCAAAGATTAAAAAGTATGTTGTTTAAAAAATGTGTCACGAATCAATTCATTTCCTGAATCAAGTGACGTTAACTCCACTATGATTGAACCAATCAAACGTCTCTGAGTGCCAGTTGGAAAAAATTATACCAAAGATAATTTTGTTTCGGTCGTTAAAATTGCATTACATTTGGTGAAGAGTACATTATGACTTGTTTATGGCTTGGGATGCCTGTCTTTATGTTTTATTTATCTGTTTATTTTTGCAGGGACAGCGCACAATTAAAAATAATTGCACAAGAGTGGGCTAACAGCTCATTTGCATCTTTTGTCCCTGAGCAGGTAGACAAAAAAAACGACAACAGAACCGTAAATACACTTCCTAAAACAGCACAATACATAAAAGTCCATCAGTGTGAGATAATAAATAGAATTCATATGATAATAAATAAAGTAGATACAAAGCAATCATTGGTGGTGACATTTTTGTGCTGACTTCAGCCAGAGCTGCAAAGCTTCATGAGTCTCGGATGTTTGTGGTCTTCCTCACTACTTTCACAGAGAAAGCTGGCTGACCAGAGGCCGGCTTCCTGAACTGCTACACTACACTTGTATGCTTGTTGAGAAATAACTTTGAGCATAGAAAAACCACACTGTTCGTTTTTGCAATTCAGTTTGTGCATGGAATATACAACATTTAAATTGGAACGCTTCAGAGTAGCTGGTAGGGTTTTTTTTTTCACATTGGACAGATGTTTTGATGCTGTTTTGTCACAGAAAAATGAGATCTGATTCAATAATCTAAAACAATCATAACAATACAAAAGTGGGTTAATCTTGTCAAAAGCCACACTTAACATTGTGAAGGAGCAATTATCTTGTGAGAAATTAAATAAAATCTAGAACAAATGAAGTGGTGATTCACTACTGACGTAATAATGTGTCATTTACTTTCAAAGGTTTAGAGTATTTTTAGCCTCAAACCATGGCAAGGGAGAGTGTGTACATGGTATTTTCGACAAATTCTGTTGACTTCTAAAGTTTTTCAGAATGTTGATCTCAGCCGAATGAAGAGCACACAAACACTTTCACCGCAGTGTTTATAGTGTGTTTTTTCGCTGCAAGAAGCAAATCATTTGAATCATCCTCAGGGTGCGATGAATATACACACCAATCTGGTCTCTAGTTGTTGTGAAATCTTTCTCTGGCCCAAATCTGTTAGATGGATATGATCACAGATGATATCTACAGTTGGTGGATTTAACTCAAGTGATTAAAGGGGAGGAGCAGTCCAATTCAGACCAACAGCAGGCAGATTGTTGATTTGTTTTATGGGCCTGTTCCATGTGTTCTGTGACAATTATTACACCATTGTTTCATTACAGTTGTCAGGCCCTGGGCTCTCTCTCTTTCTGAATGGCTAATTACACATTCTCATGCTAATAAGCACAACTCTATCTGTGCTGTCTCACTAATTAGTCAATTTTTAAATTTCAAGAAAACAGGTTGTGTCACAACAAAGCACCATCAGTGTCTGCACACATGACACAGTCAATAATTTATTCCTGTCAGACATGAAGAGACTGAAAATGTTAATAACACTGTTTTGTACATTTGCTGCACAATAAAAGTCACAACATATTGTCTGGCTGAGCATACAGTGGACTAAGTCACATTGCTAACAATAATGGGTGGCATATGGAATGTAACTAATTATATTTACTCAAGTACTGTATTTTCACATATGTGTACTCTATGCTAATGCTCTACATTCATTTGACACATATATTCGCTTATAAGATATAATCCAGTACTAATCTACCCAGTAATGTATCTAAAATTGGCTCCACATTCACAAACTACAACATTAAAATACTATTTTTACTGTATTCATTATAAGACTATAAAATAATAATCTACAGTATAATAACACTGTGAATGGAGCCATTCTGCATAATGAATATTTTTGATCCCTTAAGTACATTTTGCTGATAAAACGTTTGTACTTTGTATCAAAAAGCAAGTATCTCTGGCTTAATTTGTAAAGAAGTTTTAGAACATGGTATTTCTACTTTTACTTAAGAAATAGGATCTTGGTACTTTTTCAACCACTTATGTTCATTTTAAATGAGAAGTGAGTTTGTCAGAACTGCAGTATCTGTTGAATTCTTTACAATAATAATAGCAGCTCTCCAGACTTTCTCAGGTATTTCATGAAATCATGAAAATTAGTTTTTTTGTCCATCATCATATCATGGTCTCTAAAAACTTTTCTGGGCTGTTACACTATTTTACTTTTAGCCATGATAAATGCTAGGCTCTAGCTATGTCCATCTGTCTTCCTGCCTATTGTTCCAACTATCTTAATGACTGTATGTTTTTATCTTTTTTTGTTGCCCTGTCCTTAAAACTTAGCTTACTATATGCATGTGAATCTTAGCATTTCAACATAAAGCCATATTCATAGAAAAAATGCAACTTGCATATATCTCCTCCTTTATGCTGTAAGTTCACATTTTTGCCAAACTCTGAATGTAATAATACAATAACAAACAATATTGAGAAAAACATTTAATTGATCCAACAAGTTTATTTTCTGGTGTGTAGTGAGCATTACAGCCTAATGGAAGTTGCTAATGTGGCTGGAACGTAAGTAGTTTAAAAAAACTAAGAAACTTATTTTGCATAGTTTGTCTCCATTGTTTGTGACATCAGTTTTATTAAATCTTTAAAGTTCTATTTAATTGTATTCATTTGTTCATTTTTGAGGTTTTTGGTCTTAGGTGCTAAGAGGCTTAGCTCATAGTTCAACATGGACAGTCTGGCTTTGTTATTGCAGCCATCTTAATAAGCTTAATTGTACTTTGTCTTTAATAGTAATAGTAACTGTTTGCCTTGCAGGGTTTGAATTATCTCAGAATAGCAATGCCAGGTGAAGTTTAAAGAATGACCACAGTAAATTAGCACACAGTTGCATGGTTATTCATCCTTCTTTTACATATCTGTGAGGTGTTAGTACACATGTAACAGTGGACTAAAATCAAAGATGAAGTTCAGTGGCAAGAGCAGGTACTTAACAATTACAAAGTTCTGATCTAATGAATAAATGAGACAAGCTTGAAAAGGTATTAGCAGAAAGGGAGATGTGAGTCAGATAGATGAATAATCACACAGCTTTAACTTTCAATAAGCTGCTTTTGTTGTAAGTATATTACATTTCAGGACTTTAATGAAAGGATTAATTCAACTTCAAGGCCTCCTGTCTGACCCAAGCAAATTAAAGAATGCATTATCTTATATAAAAAAACAGTCATCTTGAATGTTGCAATTTAAGATGAATTTCCATCTTTCCATTTTGTGATGATAATGCCGGAAAAGCAGCGACTGGGGTCTGACATGTGGAGACCCATGAGGGCTTTAATGGCTCTCACAGAACAGATCATAAGTTACGTCACTTCAAGTGCGTCCACTTGCGACACTGAGCAGGCCAAAGCTCTGCTCACAGCATGATGATAAGAGGCACCGCCTTCACAAGTGAGGCATGTCGTTAGTAAGTGGGTACATTAGGTCATTCTGTTAATGTTGTTTACATTGATGAAGCCTTGCACTGACATACCCTCACTGCGGTGCTTCCTGAGTCATGAAATAGCTTATTAGCCTTCTCCTCATGTGGGCCTATTTACAAGCCCAGAGAAAACCACAAGAAACTCTTAACAAAATATGTGTATTCATGAAAACTCAGACGTAAGGAAAGTTTGTTGACCCATCAAAGCTCATTTTAACATGATCAAAGAATTGAATCCATGTAGAGCCATGCCTCGTCATTCCAGTGAGAGACTGAGAAGACACCAAGCAACATTTACAACTGTGTATACTGGGTTCAGTGCTTCCATTTTTTTTTTCATTGAAATTAAGCATGTCACTGAGTCTCACTTCGTTTACAATGTGACCATAACAAAGCATTAAATGATGACTACGAATACAATATGTGATAGAAATAGAAGCAAAACAGGAAAAGGCTTGCTTTATACAGTGCAAGGAACAAGTCGACACACTACTAACCACACGTTCACTGGGAAGAGCAGTGCAAAACGGTCTTCATACTAAAAAACATGCAGTCGTGGGAAGTCAAAAAAATTCAGCACAAATTTATTAGGAATTAAACATGACACTCACCTTGCTGGCTCCTGGCAGTAGGTGCAACTTGACATAGGGGTCGGAAAGCCCATTGTGGTCCATCGGCTTGAGCCCCTGTGAATTAAACACAGGCAAGTCATCATGATGATTTATAAAGATAAAAAAGTCTCAGATATATGTAAGTTTAAAGAGTGACTAAACACCTTCATTACCAGCAGTTCTCAAGACATTCTGAAAATAACAAACACTAGCATGAGTATCAAATTGGTCTGCCCATAATCACATCTAAAAAAGTTGTGTAGATATGTAAGATTCTGAAGCATTTTACTTATTTTCATTTATTAGTCACTTTTTATTGCAAATGAGTGAACAGATTGTAACTAAAAAATGACTTTCTCGGATATGGATATTCTTATCTTATTTTATATATCTTATCTCTAATGGGGAGCAGCTCAAAGTGTTAAATCCATAGGATGTGACATCTATTATAAATGTCAGGAGAATATAGAAGTTGTGCCTTTCCAGTTTTCCTCAGTCAGCGCCTAAATTTCTTGAGATGTACTTTCCTTCCTACTTCTCATCAAATCTTTGTCGCAGAGGTGTATTAGTTATTCAGTACAGGACCACTTCAGCTAGAAAGACCCTCAACATCACACTGAGAAACACTAAAGTGAATAGGCGAAATGCCTAAAAAAATAGCTTTCACATTCCTGTGAAAAGCAAATCAATGAGACTCAGGGAGGGAACAGGATGTAAAGGTCACTCATACAACGACAAAATAAAACAACACAATGTGGGTGCCCACTGAGCAAAGTAAAACGAAAGGACCTAAAGGGTTTCCAGAGTGAAATGCAGAGTGAATAAATGGAAGAACAGAAACCAAATGCTGCTAGGAAACCTCACTGAAAAATATCTTCTTCTATTTTCTGTAATTTCCCAGCTTGGGATCAATAAAGTATATCTAACTATATATAAAGCACAGGGAGCACATGAGTTTTCTTTTCTTTTCTTTGACCTCATGTGGTGTTTTTGAGGTAAAAGCTTAAATTGAATCATTGTCCATGAATGAGTATGCTTATGCTGAGGATAGTTTTGGCCAATATCATATCATCGCTGTTAGGTGACAGTGAGCACAAATGTCAACTTTCATCAGGGTTGCTTTTAACTTTATGAAAAAGAGTTTGTATATTGAAGGATTTCTCAAAATCCCAAGAGATGTGGTCCTTCAAAACCTCTGTTAAAAACATGAAAACTGTTTAACATAATGTTTGTGATATTTATGTTAATTTGTGTGTTAATTATCCACATAAATGCAAACAAAAATGTCTTGAATGCTCAACAGCCATAAATTAAATCTAGAGTTACTAACCAATATGAATTAGTGTTTGGTTTGTATTAGAGTAAACTAAGTTGATGCACAAATTCGGAAGATATTCTGTTGTTAAAAAACAACAAGTAGAATGATTAGAGGAGTTTGCTGCTTTGATTTTGAATCTTGATTCACCCAAACAGCAGAGGACAAGATTTTTTTTGGTCACTAGTATGGGTCGAGTCCTAAAACACTGGAGCCTACATTTCCCATGATTCTATATTCTGTTGTTAGACTCTTGTATGCCCCCATGGGATATAAAACATGACAACCACTAGCCAACTAGAATCCTAATGTGATATTGCCATGAGTCTGCCATTGCATATAAGAAATTTGTACAATTTATTAATATGGAATTCTGGACTCACTCTGGAAAGTGTGGATTCACTTTATGTAACCAAAAACCATCTTTTCCTAAACCTAACCAAGTAGTTTTGGTGCCTAAACCTAAGATATCACTTAACAACGTTAACCTGTGATGACGGTACTCTACAATGGTCATATATGTTATTTTGGAAATCACTGGCAATCAGCCTATTTAGTCGTTTAGATATGAGGACATATACTTTAAAGTGCGAGATGTTTGCAATTCATAAGTAATAAATAGTAAAAAAAAAATACAGAAAATACTCAAGATTCAACAATTCAAGAGTTGAATAGCCTCAGGGAATGTACTTCTTTTAAAGCACTCAACAGAGGTGTCTGAACCTCCTCCCAAAGGGAATTTCCTCAAAGAGCTGCTGGCTTTGAGTCATCTCTAACAATGTGCTGAGTCTTTTTATGAAGCCGAACTTTATAAATTTAACAGAGATGGGAGAGAGTGGCCGGTAATGTCAGATGCAGTCTTAACTATTTTCTAGTAGTCAGACCAGACCATACTATGACAAAGGAAGTTTATAATAAAGCACGTTCTACAGCAGATGTGTATAACTGGACCAAAGGTTTCCTTAAAATGCCCAATGGCTTGAACTTCAACACAAATACAATCTCTGATGGACCCATTTAAGGTTTGTAGAGATAATAGAGCCAAAACATCTAAAGAAACAAACTCTAGCACTGGGAAAAATGACCGGTATCTGGAAAGATCCAATGGTATCAGATCTGTATATGATATCAAATTGTCTGCATATACAGTCCGTATCTTTGACAAATACAAATGTATAGTAGTACCGTATTTTAGGGCATTTATTCCAGTGTTGTGTGAAACCAAAAGTCAACATGTAAAATCTTTTCCTAAACCTAGTAGTTTTTGTTGCCTGAACTTAACCAAACTGCAACTGTAGCTGGCTTTATTTTGAAAATGTAACCAGAAGTTGCATATTTATTATGACCATGGAAAGAACATATCTTGATAACGTGACACTGTCACGGTGGACTAGCGTGTGCATTAGATGCCTTGGCATGATACCATATTGCGAAAATAATTAGTAGTTGTGTCCTATACAAAATAGTTCAAAATGAGCTTGACATCAACCAAATACTTAACATTTTTCTGATTATACTTACATACTTTTACCAAATATATAGAACTTATACTTGTAACAGAGTATTTTTACAGTGTATAGTACTTTTACTTAAGAAAAAGGATGTGAATACTTCCTCTACCATTCTCTAATAATCATACTGTGTAGCAGAATGCAGCTCGATTATCTATTTTGTAGACTGACTTTAATAAAGATTTGCAAGAAATTACAGCCAGGAAACCATTCAGTAACAGCATCTAATTTCAGCTTGAAATTATATATCAGCATTTTCAGCATTGAGCAGCATTTCCTCAAACAATAAAAGCCAGTAGTTGTAAATCATTCTAGTATTTTAGTAACCCCACAGAAAAAGTGAGAGATGAGGCCCTGGCTGTATGCAAGTGGATTTTTAAGGCTGCACTGTTTGGTATTACATTCTGGTCTACTGAGGCTACCATGAGTGAGGAATTGCTGTCTGTGCCTCTTCTACAATTGATTTCACCCTGTGCGATTGCTGAAAACTGGTGCAAGTTTGGATTCTCAGGGGCAGCACAACAGACCCAGGAATGCGACATGCAGTATATTACAATTTGTTGTTGAACTGTATTAAACTGTTGACTTCTAATCCCCCTGTGAGAGCATCAGGAGGAGCTTTTCATGGTGGCTTCAAGGCCATCAGTGCTTGTATTTAAAATTCATATAATCAATATTAGATACGTCATCATCAGCGTTGTTGGACATTGTAATGTTGCAATGCTCTGCTGTGTACACAATCTTAGTTTGTCCACTGTGGTTTACAATGTTCCTGGTGGATAACTGAAGCAGAAATAATAAATTTAAGGTTATAAAAGATAGCAAATAATATTATAAATGTAATAGAAATGGCTATTCATGTGTTATAGTAAATGGGATTACTTAAAATAGCCTTAAAATATGACTCACTTATTACTGCAGTACAGTATAATATCTAACAGAGAGGAACACACAGTAAAATAAGACACCCTGAATAAGAAAAAAAAATATATATAACGTGGGATAAAGAATAATAAGGCTTAGAGACCCTGTGGCTTTATGATCTCGCAATACAAAGATTTCATTTCTCATCTGGCAAATGATAAAGATTTCACATTACTGGAAACAGCAGTCATGCCAAAAAAAAAAAAAAAAGAAGAAAATCCTACATAAAATTCTTTATTATGAGCCTGGGGCCATTATTTTAATTGTTCCCTGTCTTTATGGTTCTTTCTTTAATGGACCAAAAAGGGAGAAACACAACAAATATGATGTCTATTCACCCACAATTATCAGGCTTAATAGAGGAGCTCGGCTCAAAGCCCAGCACTCAGCAGGAATTACTGGCAGCAAAATGACACACTCAACTGTGTCTCTAATAAGGCAACACTACTGCTTTAGATCCTGTCTGCACAAAATAGAACCATAGTGACACTAATTTCTATAGCTGACTCTCATAAACATGTCCACATAGACCGTGTCAGATATTGTTAGTTCTCTGACATCTCAAGAAAGGTCCAGACAGAAGAGATCACATTATAAATACAGACAGACAATTAAATCAGTTGAGGGGGGAACACTAACTAGATGAGAGGTACTTTCTCTGGGTCTCTCTAATTCTATTTAGGGTGTGTCACAGAGACAGTGATGTCTACATACAGTAAGATATCATTTCAACAGGACTGAAGTTAAGAAGGACAACTCTGGTACTTCTAGGATTTTGTTGTCACTCTCATGAGGTTTATTTTAAAGACGTACTCCACCCTAAAACGTGTTTTTTGAGCTGTAAACTAAATGATATGACCATACTGTGACGAAACACATAAATGCTGGTGTAAATATTGACATTCTTACCAAATTTATCAAAATGAGTTTAAAATGGCTCAACACGCCCTCTTTTGTTTGAAATCACTATGTACCTCGTAAGTTTGGGACCGCTTTACGTCCTTTATATCCCCCAGCCCACCCAGCTTTTTTTTTTTTTTTTCTAGGAGTCAATTTTTCAAATGTATAAACTTTTAGTTATGGCTTGAGAAAACTTATATTTTGATTAAAAAACGCAGAAAAATATAAAGGAATGATCTTATTTTTTTGTGTGACCACGGTATAAGCAGGATAAAGCCCTTTGAGGTGTCCACAATCAAGAAGTGATGGACTCCGCTGCACGTCGGATGGTTCTGGCCTCCACATTATCCATTAGTTCCTGATTATGGACACCTCACATGGGCATTATCCTTTATCATCTATCATTTGATACTGTCGACCACAAC